AGTTTAGTGCGTGTGACCTTGAATGAGTGAGGGAGTCACCAGATGCCAGCTGTGTATAGCGACGACTCTTGGTGCCTGAACTAACTATATCAGCTTAGCTGTACAGTTGTGGTGAACAAAATATATACATACTTATATATAACGTCTGTATATAGTGTAATAACACCACAAATGGTATTGTTGGGGAAGAAAGTTTAGTGCGTGTGTTGAGGGAGTGGCAATGAGTGGCTGGCTGGTGTGTGGCGGTAACTCCTCATTGCTTTTCGACTCTCAATACCAACTTAGTGGTTCCTGGTTGATACCTGGTTGATGGGGTTCTGGGAGTTCGTCTACTCCCCAAGCCCGGCCCGAGGCCAGGCTCGACTTGTGAGAGTTTGGTCCACCAGGCTGTTGCTTGGAGCGGCCCGCAGGCCCACATACTCACCACAGCCCGGTTGGTCCGGCATTCCTTGGAGGAATAAATCTAGTTTCCTCTTGAAAATGTCCACGGTTGTTCCGGCAATATTTCTTATGCTTGCTGGGAGGACGTTGAACAACCGCGGACCTCTGATATTTATACAGTGTTCTCTGATTGTGCCTATGGCACCTCTGCTCTTCATTGGTTCTATTCTACATTTTCTTCCATGTCGTTCACTCCAGTATGTTGTTATTTTACTGTGTAGATTTGGTACTTGGCCCTCCAGTATCTTCCAGGTGTATATTATTTGATATCTCTCTCGTCTTCTTTCTAGTGAGTACATTTGGAGGGCTTTGAGACGATCCCAATAATTTAGGTTCGTTCCTAATTTACCTAAAAACCTAATAATTTAGGTTTAGGTTTAGGTTCGTTATGGTGAACAAAACATGCAGAGACAGTACTTATATATAACCTGTGTATAGAGTGTAATAGCAGCAAAACTATTTGTTTATTGTTTTATGAACATAATAATTGAATCACTAATATGCACACCATACTTTTGAGTATAGCAATTATTCACCACTTTTATTATATAAATATATTACAATACACAGTACTGAATAATATTACTGCAAAAAAACTAAGAAAAAATCAATCGAAGACATTGAAACAATTAAGTAATAATATCTTTGTGGCAACTCCCACCTGTCAGCGCGGGTGACGCTGACCGGGTCTGACGACCGCTCTGTCAACGCCCACTTTTTGCCAGACTTCCTCGGTCAATTGCGCCCAAAATATGTCACCTACGATTTTTTTTATTTTTCCCGTGCTCATGGGACACAAATTAACATGTTTAGAAGACGAAAAAAAAAAATTTGAATTTTTTCTTTTCTTGCGCACAAGGGTGTAAATGTCCTCAGGACCCCTGAGCAGTGGAAGGGTTAAAATTAAGACCACGAGTCTCGCCGGGGCAAATTTAGCTCCTATAATTACCCTTGGACCAGTGTGTTATGGGATATAAAGTGCTTCCATTATCAACACCCTTCGTCTACAATAAGGGAGGTGTTCTTTCCGAAACTCATTTATTAGCTGTTTCATTCCTGATCAGAAATGTTATAGGTAGTTATAGAGTAAGCCGGTCAGAATGCGAGCAAGATACAAACACAAAGTAAATATTCCTTGAACCTTATCTAATAAATTATACCAATATTTCCTCTGATATAGCTGTCATATATAGGATTGCTGCTGCTATTGTGTGTGCCCTTTGACAGGTGTAATTAAAGAGGAAAAAGAATTAGCAATTATTTGGCCCGACCAGTACAAGTGATGACACCTGCTACACCCCAGAGAGGAATATTTGTCTGTGTTCATCCGTGTCATATCTGGTTGTCTAGGTCAAAATCAACTATACAAGATAAGGCCTCCCCATTTAATTACAATATCTGTAGTCTAATACTGTAGTGAATGTCTACTAACCAATCATTTATATTGTTGACTACATATAAACCATAAAACACCCCAGAATGTGTAAATAAAGCAATTTGTGGGAATTTTAAATCCTACAATCTACTTTAAACCTCGCCATAGTTTGTCATCGAAATATCTAAATTAACATAAAATATAGATTACTATATAAATTAAATAAATATAAATCTCAAAAGTCATTTCTCCACACCACGGCACTGAACCCCGAAAAACCCTAAGAGGAAGCCCGCGATGCAGCAACAGACGCAAAGCCCCTGGAACCCGAACCCTGCGATCGTGAGAGCGGTGGAAGGGACGTCCCCAAAGGAACCAAAATAGACGCCGGAGCCAGATCCTACCTGGTGATGGTGATCACCATCATGGCGAAGTTCAAACTTCCACACAGCTCCTTGAGCAACCACTGTGTGACCCTGGACCCCGCCAGGAACAACTGAAGGCGGGACTGCAGCCACAGCAACACCTCCGGAGGAAGATAAAAGGAAGCAGTCCGAGAATCCCACACGAGACCCTGCCAAGTCCGAACCTAAGAGGGAACAAGAAGGGACTTCCTCCAGTTCGCCAAGAACCCGATCCCAGCGAGCAGGGAAAGAACTAATTCCCTGGCGAGCAGACATGCGGGCCGGCTGAGAGTCCAAACACGGCAGTCGTCGAGGTAGGCCAGAACCCGAACCCGTAACAGACACAGACGTGCCACCACAACCCAAGTAAGATGCGTGAATACGCGAGATACCAGATCCAGCCCAAAGGGAAGGCAACGAAAGCAGTAAGCTTGTCACCCCACCATGAAACCTAACCAGTCCCTGAACCCCAGAAGAATCGGAACATGCCAATACGCGTGCCGGAGATCCAAGGACACCATCCAAGCATCCAGCTCCAACAGAAGCCAGATCTGGGACAGAGTGGTCATCTGAAAGAGGCACAGGATCCAGGGGTTCAGACAAGACAAGTCCAGAATGAACCACAGATCTACACAGTCCCGTTTCGAAACTGGGAAGAAACGGGAAACCAATCTGAGGGACGTTGACGTTTTGACCCCGCCCAAACAGACCCACTCCAAGAGGACCAGACTCTGCACAGGAGAAGAGGCCTGCCCCACCAGCCATGAACCCCTGAAGGAAGAGGAGCCACCCCACGCCACCACAGGCCGAAGGACACAACCCGAAAGACCCACAAATTGTGGGACCAGGCGTGAGCAAACAGGGAGAGCCTACCCCCCCTTCCATGGCCCCGTCAATGGGGCGACCCACGAAAGTGCTGACACCCCTTGAGAGAACCCGACCGACGGTCAGAAAGAGCACCACGCTGACCAGACGCCATAGGTTCTGAAGGAGGCGCCAGCGCTGAAATTGGCACCACTGGCTCACCACGACCGAGGGAACCCCGAACCCTGGCACAACCCCCTACGGCAGCAAATACCAACAAGTCGGACATAGGACAAGAGGAAGCTGAAGTCGCTTGCAGAAACTGCACCATAGCAGAGTCTGCAAACAGCAAGGACAAAAAGGCGAAGAAATCCTAAGAGCCAGAGCCCAAGCAGATTCCAAAAAATGGACGAGCACAGCCTGCCAGCACGCGAGGCAAGAAGCAAAGAACAGAGACGCTGCCTCCTTGAGGATAGGCGTAAACAGCTTCAACAAGGCAGTCAACGCCCTAGCCGCCGAGGTAAGCGCACCGGACGCAGTCCTGGCATTCAGTGCCTCCACATCTTCCGCAAGCCAGTTCGATGACAATTCGAGGAGGGAAAAGAAATGCAAGACCAAGGCCAAATGCCCATGGGTGCGCAATTCCTCTGCAACTGCAGACGCCGAAAGGGAGGGAACCTGTACATGAAGTCGCACCTGGCAAATATCCCTAGGAAGAACAGGGGCGAACAAGCATGCATTGAGGTGCTCCAACTCGCCCCCCAGGTAAACCTGAACAATCAAGGAAGTTTCTCGCCACTCAAGCGTGCAGTCTGGCAGAACGTATGCCATGCCCCCAGCGAAAATAACGGACAGTCCGCAAGCCAGGACGACTCCAGCACTCGGGCACTTCACATTCACAGTGTGACCAACGTCCTGGCGAACGGCCTGTCTTGCTTCATTCCTCTTTCCATGGAGTGGACGGGCGATACCACTTCCTTTGGCTTTGCCACACATAAGGGCACCCTAGAGGTAGACTTCTTTGCACGATGTAAGGGCGAAGAGGGAGAACGGCCTATTGACATAGCTCGGGTGCAGGGGGGAGTTGTGTAAAATCCTGGTTTGTGCCTCGGAGAGGCTACGGGATCTAGTAAGTTCAGTAGAACTTCGGTTTCAACTCTTTTTAACCCTGTCGTAGCTCAGTCGATTAAGGCAGTGTCTGGGATGCTCCCGGACCCAGTTTTGAATCCTCGTCACGGCCCTTGTGGATTTGTTCACCTAGTTGTACTCATCTAGTTGTGCTTGCGGGGGTTCAGCTCTGGCTCTCTGAGAGTTGAGAGTCCAATCAACAATTTTTTTCATCCCTCCCCCCAAGGAAGCAAATGCGTAGCAGCTGTCTAACTCCCAGGTACCTATTTACTGCTAGGTAAACAGGCACATCAGGGTGAAAGAAACTCTACCCTGTTTGTTTCCACCTCTGCCGGGGATCAAACCCGGGGCCCTTAGGACTACGAATCCCGAACACTGTTCACTCAGCCATCAGGCCCTTAAAAAAAAGTGTTCATGGGCTGTTGAGGGGGACAGGTTCTGGCTCATGGTTCCCAGTAGGCTTACAAAGAACTTTGCGACTGATGACACTCAAGAGGTGTGGCACTTGATCAGTAAGATAGCCTCAGGGAGCCGACGGGCCTCACCCAGAAACTACCATTTCATTACATACAACTGTAGTTTTATTTATACTGTTTTACATCTAATTTCATGTTATATACATATGTTCATTTTTGGTAGACCAGGAACTTATCCCCCATTATAGTATTGCACCTATGATAAATCAGGTTCCAAATTAAACACAACATACATGCAAATGGTTCTTAAGAATACATTGCTAAAATGGAAGGCAAATAAACTACTTAAAGGAGAATACTATAAATTTAAAGAAATACAAAACACCACATTATTTAAACTACAAGAAAAAAATATAAGACTGTATAGTGTACCTTATTTTGTTGTATTAGATGAAAATCTTTTCCATAGGTTTTAAGCCCATTTTCAAAATTTCTACACTCTTCCTCAGACCATAGTGTCATTGTGGAGGCCAGTGGTGTTGGATTCATCCGGTGTCTACGTAAAGCTTCATCTACATTATACCCACATTGAAGTAACAAATATAATGCCTGTTGAAAGAATTTAGAATGGTTAAAAATGTTTCACAACATCCCAAGTACTATTCTCAATGCATTAAATACTAGACAAAGTAAAGTACTGTACAGCACAGGTTTAATCCCAGCTCAAAATGAAGTCAAAATTTAAAACAGTAAACACTTCAATGCAAACAGTTTTGTATTAGAAAAGTGAGGTTATGCTTCTGACCAAATCCACTCAGTTGGACCCTTAACCTTTCAAGTGAGCGTGTCAAACAGGCACAATCCAACCATATCTGTTCCTACTATGCGAGTTAAATAGAAGTGATTTCAAGTATTAAGTAAGATTTAAAGTCCTGCGTATTCATGGGGCTTACATTTGATTCCTCACACATTCAGTAAGGAGATACCACCTTGAAAAAAATTATTGAACCCCTCCTTGGTGTGAGGGCCTCATTATTGAGAGGGTGACCATGGGGAGTGCATGCTGTAACAGCTCACAGCACCGCCATGCAACTTGTGCCTACAGTACCACTCAATATGGATGAAATAAATAAATAACTGATAATTTTGCGTTGATAGTGTCATAGAAGATCGTGACTGTGATAAAGAATATGTACAAGGTTTAGGTATCAGTGAACATAATGCTGGTTAGAATGATCAGAGCAGGAGGCAGACATTCACTGCTGTGGTTTCATGCATCTACACATCATGGAAAGTTTCCTTTTGTTCCTTTAGAAAATAAACTTGTGGAAAATGATCATATTCATGATTTAGTGACAGCAATCTGATAGTAATAGCACTGTTGTGGCTAGACCTAGCAATGTGCATAAGATATTGGAGGGATTTTGTTGAATCAGGTTGTGTCATCAGCTGGCATTGTCTGCTGATATCCTGGTCACTATGCTGTGCTTGGAATTCCCTCCACACCCACCAGAACTGCTTAGTTGTTTGATAGGATGCATAAAAATATAAATACTTTAGATATACATGACATGTATATTGTGCAAGCAAAAACTATTTTATTGATCAAAGAATATAATATTGTGCACATATTAGTGACAAATATATGATATCTGTGTTCTACGAATTCTGAAATACAAATAACAATGACAACCCAATACATCACTACACTAAAAAATCATTGTAAACCTTGAAAAATATGAAGAAAATGTAATATATTCAGTGCATACAGTTCCAATTTCCTGCAAAACATGCAGTTAGGCTGAACTCTGATGATTGTTTACAAAGTTATTACATCCAACAGAACTGCTTAGTGGTCTGTAATGGTGCATGAAAATGTAGACAATGTAGAAAATGTTAAATGTATAACATTTTATATTTGACATGTACAGCTTAGCACATGTCAATGTGAATATAGTGTAATAACAGCAACAAAAACCTAGCAGTGAATCTAATGAAATGACAATTTCTGGGTGATCCCCCAGTAGCTCCCTGAAGCTACTACTGTAGACTGACTGATATAATGCCAAACTACAAGGTGACATCTGTTAGAGTTTTTATAGGCCTACTGGGGGCAATGAGTCAAAACCTGCCCCCTCAGTGGCAGTGGCATAAGGGGGCTGAGCAGACAGAACACTGGACGCGTGATCCTGTGGTCCCGGGTTCAATCCCGGGCGCCAGCGAGAAACAATGGGCAGAGGTTTCTTTCACCCTGATGCCCCTGTTACCTAGCAGTAAATAGGTACCTGGGAGTTAGTCAGCTGTCACGGGCTGCTTCTTGAGGGTGGAGGGCTGGTCGAGGACCAGGCTGCGGGGACACTAAGCCCATCTCAAGATAACCTCAAGATAGATAACCAGTGGGGCCAGGTTTTCTCGCTATCAGGGAGAAAAGTTTTCTCCCCTGGCAGTGGTTTTATGACAAATTTTATGTAAATTTATTCGTCAGCCACCATCAAGGGAAGGCACCTAGAAAGGCAGGAGACAAAACAGGCAACTGCTTGATTAGAAAACCAGATTGCAGCCTTAAAAAAGCAAAACAAAAACTTTGGCTGTCATTGTGAATGGAGTTCTAAGCCTACCGGGGACCATGAGCCAGAACCTGGCCCCTTCAGAGAGGCACGAGGAGCAATGGCCTATAGAATGGCACATGGAATTTGGAGCACTCTATATCTGCCAACGACCGGGACAAGCACCCAGAAAGGTAAGTGCCTCAAACTCCTATTCTGGTGAAAATGACTAAAATAGACAAACGAGTCGACAGAACTCCCCAATTGAAAATGAGCAAACGAGCATGACGTCACACGAGCCGTGCCGCATGTTTGAGCAGCTTTCCACTCTCAGGGAGGAAGAAAGGGTAGCCCCAGACCTTCGCGCCAGCAATCCACCCTCCAGTTCTGAGGCTGGATGTCAAAAACACGTGAAAAAAAATGCCGACCAGAGGAAGGGAGGGTTGCCTGGGAGCCTCCAGGACTCACCCTGAAAATGGCGTTTCATTACTTTCAACGCTGGTTTTCTGGGGGAAGCCCCTTCAGCTCTCCACCGATACTTTACCAAAGACGAAAACAGAGGGACTTACCTGGGAGGCGGCCGGTGCTCACATCTCAACTCAAAATCGAGACAACAGGCTGAAACCACTGATCCAAAGCGACACGGGCCCCGACTAGGCCCAGGAACATTCACAAGTAGCGTGTATTCAGGACCCTGTTCAACCGCCAAAAACCCTATGCCCGAATGTCAACCCAGGAAATGTTACCAATGACGGCAGCAAGCGCAGCAAACTTACGAACATCATGGGCACAGGAATAGACCGCAGGCTGGCTAGACCGAATAACCCTGCAGATGATCTGAGAGACCTGAACCCGAGAACAGGGAAGAAGGGAAACTGGATCAACACAAAGCGCATCCCCGGCACTAGAGTCCGTGGCACGCAAATAACGGAGGAGAGCCGCAACTGGACACAACACATGATGCACCCATGGCCTGACCAACCAAGCAGTCTCATCCCTCGCCAGAAAAGGAGACAGCTGCAAATGAACAAACCTATCACCACGACCAAAAGAGCAGAAACCCCTGTGCCAGAGGAGAGCATGAAGCTCCCCAACCTGACCCCCAGAGACCAATGCCAACAAGAAAGCTTAGGAAAAACAAATCTTGAACAAAAGGGGCCACAACAAACCGAGGCGAAGAGAGAAATGAGAGCACTCTGTCCAAAGACGAGGACGGCTCAGGGGGCGCATGAGCAGGCTGGAGGTGAAACAACGCCCGAGACGGCTTGCGAAATGGTGCAGAAGTAACATCAATAACAAAAGCAAGCTGCAGCGACCCCGCCAATGCCGCACAATACGAGACGACAGTATGTATCAAGACGACGGTCCCAAACCTCTATGAGAGAAGGATAAGATCACGTCAACAAAACAACAGGATACCTAGGAAGAAACAAAAAGAAAAGGAAGAACCGCCAGCAAAACCCCATACCGCCGCTGAGACGAAGCACGCAGGTGGGCCACCATCAACGAAGCCACCTAATTACCAAAATGATGGTGAGAGACTCGAGTCAGACTTGCCAAACTTGAAGACTCAAGGAAAAGACTGAGCCCCTTCACGGACCGGATTGATCATTGGAAAGAGGCGGAGCTGTGGGTAAACCCCTGGGTGCGGACACAGAGCAAGCAGCGCCTGAAACCAAGGCTAGCAAGGAACCAGAAGGAATGTCCGCCAGAAAACCAGGAACCCAAACTCAGCGAGCCAGGAAAGAACCAACCCGGGCGAGCAGGCACACCCCGTCCAGGAGGAACCCCCCCCCCCCCCGGGACCCCACCAAAGGACCAACAAGTCCGATAACGGATGACAACGAGAAAAAGCCGCTTGCAGAAACTCCCGAACCACAGACTCCGCAAACAGCAAGGATAAAATTGACGAAAACCTAAGAGCCAGAGCCCAGGCAGAGGCCAACGAGGAAAACAAGCACCACGAGCCGAATCGCGACACGCGAAGCAAAAAACAGAGACCCCACAACCCACAGGAGTAGCACAACCAGCTCCAGCAGGGCAGAATGATGCACGCATCGCCGCGTAATATATGAGAACTACTCAGGACGTGTACCGCAGTAAAACAAAAATGTACTTTCTGGAAAAGGAACACACAGAAAAAGCCGTAGCCAGGGCCGTAATCCTAGCAGCTCCTGTCCCAACAAAAAGTAACTGTAGGGGCAGGAATGGTAGATTGGAAATCTACATCCACCTGCAGACATTGCAATGCAGAAGCTGGCAGTGACATACAAGAAGATGAAAGAACTCAGTTCTATAACTGAACACTTGAGCAGTCCAACATCAGGGAACTAAACATGTACATAGTCCAACCTAGCACAGACATCAGTGTAGCCAATATGCACATACGAAGATACACAACAATGTGGTGTAGTATAGAGGTAGGAAATATAGAAATATGCAATGAAAAGACCCTAAATATGGTCGAAACACCAGAAGCTAGAGACATGGGAGTATAATCAATATGACGAACTAAGACGACCTAGGTAGCAATTGGTAACATCATGTACATGAAGAACTACATATGCAGAGAGACTCCAATGTATATATAAGGGTGCAGCCAGGCAATGAATAAGTGTCCAGATAGCATTGACTGAGTCAATGAATGAGTGTCCAGAGTCAAGAAAAGATTCAGTCGCTGAAAGACTAAACTAAAGGCACCAAATTTCGGGGATGCGCCCCACAGTGTAGCGAAGAACAAGATATACGGACAGAGTAAGGACATGTTAAGATGCATGCAAATTGGCCAAGCAACACACTACAACAATACCCAACACTCGTCCAAAATTCGAGAACCAGCGCCTGGCTGACAGTGAAGCCAGACCGTATAATCTCACCTGTAGAACGTAGACACTACCATCTCACGACACAGCTGAGCCGTGTAATATTCCGAGAGCATCGCTAGTGGATTATGTCCAGAGTTGCGTGCACAGTACGAGAAGATTAGGCGTAGTGCAGTGGTGGAGGCTGTGCCACTCCAAGCCATCCCACACCCGTAAGCAGAGAAAAGAACTAGGTGTTTTCCCCATATACAAAATCTAGAACACCCCCAGTATCTAGGGGGCTATGACTGGATAGATACGATGATAAGATGAGGGAGAACGACGCATAACCCGCGATAAAGGACGTGGAACACCAACACATGTTTACACTGCCCATAAACAATCATCATCTACGGCCCATGCGCCCGAGGTCCGAACCGCATCACCCGTCTTTCGGGGAGGGTGCCAACAAGGTTTATTTAACAATTATTAGTAATGTCGAGACAGCATACGGAGAAACAATGTGGTTACAAAATAATGAGATATAGAATCGAAAGATGACAAGTAGTACAGAAGAGGACCAACAAGTCCAATGAAAGACTGGAGAGAATCCTCACCGGAAGTCTACAGACATTACAATAATATTTTAAGTATCGAAGATCTTCTCGAACCTTTGAGAACCTTGATAAACAAGAACAAAATCACGGAGGCTCATACGAGCCCATTGGCATCCGTAACCAATGGTCATGCAGGATCCCTGTACGATTTGAACACGATTGCAACATGATGTAGAAGAATACATGTCCATGATAAGAAGGTTGAGAAAGCGGTTAAAATTACCCACAGGAAGGACGGAACTGACGGACCCGAAAGGACACGGAACTGAACCCGGGAGGGGCCGACGCTAAAACCAACTCGTACGCAAAGGGAGGAAGGAAAACCCCACTCCTTGTAACAGAAAGCCCTGGTCATAGGATTGGAAAACCCAGGCAGGGTTCAACGGGGCCCAAGGCACCCAAGTCAGCCTCTCCCCAACCCCAGGAACCTCCACATCAAGCCCCCAGGGGCGAGTCATCCTCCGAAGCCCCGGCCTCACAAGAAAAATGCCGGGGCAGCTGGAAAAACAGGAAGAGAAGGGGCCCACTGGTCAGACCCCGGAGCAACAGCTGGAGGAACCGGAGAAAAGAGAAAAAGAGAGCACCTGATCCAAGGACCAGGATGGCTCAAGCTGTGCATGAGCAGGCTGGAGGTGAAACAATGCACAAGACAGCTTGAGAAAAGGCGCAGAAGTAACATCAATACCGAAAGCAAGCCGCAGCGGTTCCGCCAGTGCCACACGGTACGAGGTGACAATATTCGATATAAGATGACTGTCCTAAAATGACAACAAAAGGAAGGACAAGATAACCCTATCAGAAACCGAAGTGTACCTACGAAGGGAAAAAAAGAAATGGAAGGACCGCCAGGAAACTTCATATTGCTGCTGAGACGAAGCACTCAGGTGGGATATCACCAACGTAGCCACCTGCTCACCAAACAAGTGGTGATAGACCTGATTCGGAAAAACCAGATGCAAAGACTCGAGAAGAAGATCGAACCAGCCACGTACTGGACCGGACCAATCTGCTGAAAGAGACGGAGCCGCGGGAAAACCCCCGGGTTCAGAAAGGGCCTTGGCCTTGGTGGCCTTGGTGCCCTTGGAAAGGGCGCCAAGTATAACAGGAGATGCCTCGATCACACTGACGCGAAGAGGTCCACCTCCGGGAGCCTGAACGTCCGGCAGAGCCAACTGAATGAGTTAGCATCAACCCGTCCATTCCGTGGACAGGGTTAGGAGAGAGAAAAAAACGAGAACTCAGCAGATGAGTCACCTGAAGCGACCAGCCCCAAAGAGCCAAGGACTGCATCGAACCCCCTTGGTTCAGGCAATGAACCACCGCAAAGCAGTCCGAATGGAGCTTGATTGTCGATCTGCAGGCGACCCAAACCCTCAGAAGCGAATACCACACAGCCGTGAATTCCTGCACTGTGCTGTGGGCTCGATGGAAAGACGGACCCCATCGCCCTTGGCCGGCCTAGTGAGCACTGGTCACAAAGCACCAGCCCAGAGACGACCCGTCCGTGAACACATCGAGCGAGGGCTCAGATAGACACCAAGGCATTGAACCCCGAAAAACCCGAAGAGGAAACCGGTGACGCAAAGCCCCTGTAGGCTGAACCCAGCGATCGCGAGAGAGGCGGAAGGGACGTCCCCAAAAGAACCAGAATAGCTGGTGAAGCCAAACCCGACCCGGAGGGTAGACCATCACGGCAAAGTTAAGGCTCACGCACAAACCCTCGAACAACCTCCATGTGACCCGGAACCCCTCAGAAACAGGCAAAGGAGGGACCGCAGCCAAAGCAGAGATTCCATAGGGAGAGACAAGGAAGCTGTCCGAGAGTCCCACACAAGACCCAGCCAAGTCTAAACCTGGGAGAGAACCAGAGTGGACTTCCTCTAGTTCACCAAGAACCTGGCAAGCTGGAAAAGAACCAAATCCCTGGCGAGCAGACATGTGGACTGGCTGGGAGCCCATCCCAGACAGTCGTCGAGGTAGGCCAGCACCCGAACACCTAAGAGACGCAGACAGGTTGGTCACCACGACCCGGGTAAGGCGTGTGAAAACGCAAGGTGCCAGGTTCAACCTGAACGGGAGACAATGAAAGCAGTAACCGTGATGCCCCACAACGAAACCCAGCCAGTCCCTGAACCCCCGGATGAATTGGGATGTGCCAATACACGTCCTGAAGGTCCAGGGACACCATCCAAGTGCCCAGCTCCAGCAGAAGCTGGACCTGGGACAGAGTAGTCATCCGAAAGGAGGAGCAAAGAACCAAGGGGTTCAGACGGGACAAGTCCAGAATGAACCTCAGGTCCGCAGTCCTGTTTCGGGACTGGGAACAGATGGGAAACCCATCTGAAAGACGTCGTTGTTTCGACCATGCCCGAGCGTACCCACTCCAAGATGACCCGAAAGAGCACGGGAGAAGAGACCTGTCCCGCCAAACTTGAACCCCTCGAAGGAGGAGGGGGGGCCGCCCAACGCCACCGCAGGCCATAAGAAACGACCCGAAAATCCGAGCGAGTGAGTGAACAGAATGAGCCTGCCCCCCAGCGCCCCGTCAATGGGACGAACCGCCAAAGGGCCAATGCCCCTTACGAGAACCCGACCCCCGCACAGAGCGAACACCGCGCTGACCAGACGAAGATGGGTCCGAAGGCGGTGCTGGCTCCGAAACTGGCACCAGTGACCTATCACGACGAGCGGATCACCAAGCCCTGGCACACTGCTTAATTCAATAAGTCGTATGTTTTTATTAAAATTTAAGTTTTTAAGTAATAAGCCAATACTATGAGGCATTTCACAAAATATTTTAACAATGATCTTACAGAAGGCAATGTATAAATCTTCTACATTCTCTCTGAAGAGCTAATTCAAATTCTAGAGTTACTACAGGCTTTGCCAGCAAATGCATATCTGAACTAGTACTTGGATGGGGTTCTTGGAGTTCTTTAACTCCTTAAGCCCAGCTTGAGACCAGGCAACTGAATTTGTATGATTAATATTAACAGGGTGAATTAAATGATATTTCAGTGTCAATATTTATATATATAAACTCATTCTCCAATTCAAGCCATACTAGCAAGTGCAACTAATGATTCTTTAAGATCATTTTGTGACATTTTGCATGATGCTTTTGGTGCATATCAGTAAAGTCCACTTATGGTCTTCAGCAAAAATAATTAAACAGTATGTCTAATATATACTGCAATAAGTATTAAAGTATTACAATGTAATAAGAATAAGTATTAAACAGTATGTTTAATACTATTCTTATTGATCAGAAACTATCAGACATAACATCTTGGCAATAATCTAAACATTTAGCCTTATTTCAGACAAGAATCTTAAAGATATCACATACCATACTGAAAGAAAATACCAGAGTAACAGATACTGATAAATAATTTTTGAAAGCTCAAACAGAAAACTACCACCCACCTGTTCATCATCTCGAACATGTTTACCAAGAGGAATGGCGGCAACACCTTGAGAACCAGGTGGGGGCTGACTCAGTGCCCGCAGGTACTCCTCTACCTTTAAATAAAAAAAGAACAAATGTACATCGCCCCTCTTGACAAGATGTCACCACCCTGCACACACTCAAGCACTTAATAACCCTGTCACCACCTCACTTTTATGAAGGGAACATAAAACTCAAATGTGTCAATATGACAAATTTATTTGTGGTCAAAATAATTTAATTACTCCCAACAATTAGATACTTTTATCTTCTTGACCCCTTAACTGCACTTCACATATAAGGATGTTTATAGGCACTGCAATAAAACTTAAAACACCCACAGGTACACATGGCTCATATCTCTATCCTCAGGTCTCCAGTAAACAGAACCCCCCCCCACCCCCACTCTCTTTTACCACGAACAGCAAACTTGAGTAGTGCATGCAACAGCAGCTCACACCACCACTATCCTCATAATGACAAGCCATTATGGCAGGAGTGGTAATCTCATAACATGTGGTCAGGGTTCAGCCTAGCTCTTTATGTTTTCTGTGAAATAACAACTGCATGCATTGAATACTGTATATAATATTTCTAAGGTTTTACCAAGGATTTTTCAAGTGCAATGATACAATGGGCTGTTATTATTATTATTTATATCACAGAACATGTTGATCATAGGTACACACAGACATTACACAAAGAAATCACAATAACGTGATGCATCAATAAACCCACTAGGGCTGTGACGAGGATTCGAACCTACATACGAGATCATCCCAGACACTGCCTTAATTGACTTAGCTATGACATGGTCAAAAGAGCTGAAACCAGAAGTTCTACTGCCCTTATTTGGATCCTGCAGCCACTCCGAGACACAAACCAGGGTTTTACACAACTCCCCCATGCACTCAAGCTATGTCAATAGGCCGTTCTACCTCTTCGCCCTTCATTAAACACAGAAATCACAACAACATGATGCATCAATGAACAAATCCACAAGGACCATGACGAGGATTTACACACACTAAAATATGCACCATATTATTTGCTTAGAACAATAAAACATTCTGTTTTTGCTGTCTTTACACTGTATATACACACTACATATATAACTATATACACTCTAATGCTAAGTCATTCTGGCAGGCATGGTAATCTCATAACATGTGATCAGAGCTCAGCGTAGCTCTGCACGTTTGGGATGAACTTATAACTGCATGCAATGGACATACTGTATAATATTTATTTTATTTCCAATGTTTTAACATTGTTTTTTCACGTACAATGATGCAATAGCCAGTCAATAATGTTATTTGTATCTCAGAACATACAGATCATAGGTAAGAACAGATAGTTTGTGTGTCACCAATATGTGCATCATTTTATATTCTTTGAACAATAAAACACACAGATTTCCTGCTATTACACTATACATGCATCATACACTACATGTCTATGCACCATAACCAATCAACAGTTCTGTGAGTGTGGTAATGAACAAGGACATCATAGTACCATATACACACTACCAGCAGAAAATACCAGCAGACCAAGCAACCTGATGCAACAAAATGCATCACAATATACTATGCAACACTCTTATTTCTAGACACACAGTGCTAGGAATCAGATTCAGATTCAGGTGTCGTCCAGGAATCATCAGATTCCTGGACGACACTCAATCATGAGTATTAATAATTTTTCACAAGATTATTTTCTAAATGAACATGTAGTTACATTTCATGATACCGTGACTACACGAGACCGTGGCTATGGGCTGTGAGTTTCTGCCTCGCAATGTAATCATCATAACTAGCATTGCGGTTACGGAAATTGAAACCTTGTACAACGTCATTATCACAGTCAGGAGGTTTAATGACACTATCATTGCAGATTTTTCTTGATTTCTTCTCAATTAAGTGATGCTATAGGCACAAGCTGCATGGCAGTGCTGTGAGCTGGTGCAGCATTCTCCACCCATGGTCACCCTCTCAATACTGAGGTCCTCACACCCAGAAGGCATGCCCACAATTTTTTTCCAAGATGGTGTCTGTGTACTGGAGGCCTGAGGAAGTAAATGTGAGCCCTTGTATGTGCAGAACTGTTAAATCTTATGCAGTACTCTGAATCATCCCTGCATGACTCGTGTAGCAGAAGGATTAAACAGGATTCTGCTCAGTCCAGAACAACACATAAAGCTTGTCACAAAAAATAATTTTCAACTGTCCTTCAGGATCAAGTAACATACTATATTAGGGAGACACTAAAAAATTCAAAGTACTGCTAAGAATGACTGCCAGAAGTCAAATAATTATGATTCAAAAGCCTATCACGCCCTTCTCTTGGTAAACATTTGTGACTTTGTATTAGACATGGTAGAACCATGTCTGCCCCTAGATACAGTGTAGGTACAGTAACAAACCCATGCCATCCTATACATACTACCAAATGTTAGGTAGAAGGAAAAGTAGGAAGAAAACTGATGCAATTGAATGATTCTATCAGAATATATATTTATATGTATGTATATTTTGGTAGCAGTCTTTCCTGTAGACATATATTATTAAATATGACTGAAAAAGTAAGATTAATAATTCTAACACGAATTTTCTCAATATTTCTTATGTTTCTTTTCACTGTCGATGGTAATTGAAAAATCAGTTCTCCAAAATTCATTTTTATTTCTAGTCTGACGCGACACTTGAACGCGTTTCGTAATAACTTGTTACATTTTCAAAGACTTTAGTTTACACACACATAACTATAACCTGCAAACACTAAACAGATTTCTTTCTATGCTATAATTCAAACGGCTTTTCATTTTATATACCTGCATTTGGGTGAGGTGATATGTTACAACAGTTTTGGATGAGGTGAAAACAAACTTTCAACACAAGATAGAACACGAAACAATGGATATAATATTGTGTAAGTTAAAGGGAAGAATGGAAGTAAATGCAAAGGGCCTATTGGCCCATATTTCTTGATGCTTCTATATTGGTGCAGTCTTGAAGTGGGTAGAATATAGTTGTGCATTAATTGGCTGTTGATTGCTGGTGTTGACTTCTTAATGTGTAGTGCCTCGCAGATATCAAGCCGTCTGCTATCGCTGTATCTATTCATGATTTGTGTGTTTTTTGTTAAGACTTCTCTGGTGATGGTCTAGTTGTGGGAAGAGATTATATGTTCCTTAATGGAGCCCCTGTTGCTTATGCATCGTTAATCGCCTGGAAAGAGATGTTGTTGTCTTGCCTATATACTGAGTCTTTGAGGCTTACAGTCCCCAAGTGGGCATTTGAAGACATAGACGACATTGGTCTCTTTCAAAGCGTTCTGCTTTGTGTCTGGAGAGTTTCTCATGAGTAGGTTGGCAGTTTTCTTGGTTTTATAGTAAATCATCAATTGTATCTTCTGATTTTTGTCTGTAGGGATAACATTTCTATTAACAATATCTTTCAGGACTCTTTCCTCCGTTTTATGAGCTGTGGAAAAGAAGTTCCTGTAAAATAGTCTAATAGGGGGTACAGGTGTTGTGTTAGTTGTCTCTTCAGAGGTTGCATGGCATTTCACCTTCCTTCTTATGATGTCTTCAACGAAGCCATTGGAGAAGCCGTTGTTGACTAGGACCTGCCTTACCCTACAGAGTTCTTCATCGACTTCCTTCCATCCTGAGCTGTGGCTGAGAGCACGGTCGACATAAGCGTTAACAACACTCCTCTTGTACCTGTCTGGGCAGTCACTGTTGGCATTGAGGCACATTCCTATGTTTGTTTCCTTAGTGTAGACTGCAGTGTGGAAACCTCCGTACCTTCCATGACTGTTACATCTAGAAAGGGCAGCTTCCCATCCTTCTCCATCTCGTAAGTGAAACGCAACACAGAATTACGCTCAAATGCCTCCTTCAGCACTTGCAGATGTCTGACATCAGGTACCTGTGTAAAAATGTCGTCAACATACCTGCAGTATATGGCCGATTTCAAGTTCATGTCGACTAAGACCTTTTGTTCGAAGGTACCCATGTAGAAGTTCGCAAACAGTATACCTAGGGGAGAACCCATGGCGACCCATTCTACTTGCTTATACATGTGCCCATCCGGGCTCAAGAAGGGTGCCTCTTTAGTACAAGCTTGGAGTAGTTTCCTTAGAATGTTTTCTGGTATGTCAAGAGGAGTACAGGCCGGATCACGATACACTCTGTCCGCTATCATCCCGATTGTTTCATCCACAGGTACATTGGTAAACAGCGATTCTACGTCCAACAAGGCTCTTATCCCTGTGGCCCGTGTTCCCCGCAGTAAGTCGACAAATTCCTTTGGAGACTTCAGGCTGAAGGCGCAAGGGACATAAGGAGTCAGCAAGCCGTTGAGTCGCTTCACCAGTCTGTATGTAGGTGTGGGTATCTGGCTGATGATTGGCCAAAGTGGGTTTCCAGGCTTGTGTGTCTTGACATTTGGATACGCGTATGGAAATGTCAGGAGTGTTGTTAACGCTTATGTCGACCGTGCTCTCGGCCACAGCTCAGGATGGAAGCAAGTCGATGAAGAACTCTGTAGGGTAAGGCATGTCCTAGTCAACGGCTTCTCTAATGGCTTCGTTGAAGACATCATAAGAAGGAAGGTGAAACGCCATGCAACCTCTAAAGAGACAACTAACACAACACCTATAACCCCTATTAGACTATTTTACAGGAACTTCTTTTCCACAGCCCATAAAACGGAGGAAAGTGCCCTGAAAGATATTGTCAGTAGAAACGTTATCCCTACAGACAAAAATCAGAAGATACAATTGACGATTTACTATAAAACCAAGAAAACTGCCAACCTACTCATGAGAAACTCTCCAGACACAAAGCAGAACGCTTTGAAAGAGACCAATGTCGTCTATGCCTTCACATACCCACTTGGGGACTGTAAGCCTCAAAGAACTCAGTATATAGGCAAGACAACATCTCTTTCCAGACAATTAACGATGCATAAGCAACAGGGCTCCATTAACACTTTAGTGCGCGCGGCACTCGTGAAAAAAAAAGCGCCTTGTGCGCGCGGCGTTCTGCGCGCTCAAGCGTAAACAC